TTAAGCTGCGCGCTAGGTGGTCACCTAGTTGGCCTATAGAGAACGCAGGCCCTGTGTGCACAAGTCTACTGACACCGCAGTAAACAGCAATGTTTATATTTGTCAGTCAGAATGCCATTACTGTCTGTCAAGCAAGCACTATTAGAGGCACATCTCTATAGAAAATTTTCAATTATTAAAGGTTTGGCATCACTGAACACAGTTAGTGCTTCTCATGGAAAAGCTAAAACTCACTGTAATTCGTTATGGTGCTTACAGTGCTTTGCTGAATGGATGCTTTTTTAAAGGCTGTAGACAAGTATCTGCAAGCATCAATCTAATTATTAGGTAATTATAAAAAAAAAAAAAAGAGAACTGTAACAAACTCCCATTTCCAAGTGAAATTGTCACAAGCTCCTGGAGGAGCCTGTTTGCCAGCATCCTGCCCACAGACTATGGGCCCTGTAATATACACTAAAAAGGCTGCGTTTGTTTATTTGGACTATATGGTTCGGGCACTGAACAGCTGCACGAACCAGAGACCACCCTGGAGCTTGTTAAGCTTAATTGCTACTTTGAAGCAATTTCCATCGCAGTGTTCTAAGTGTTCGTCTGGGTGGCTGCATTTCCTGTGGACTACCACGAGGTGGCAGCTATCTTGTTCGCATGAAAACAGGCAGCGGTGTTTGGTTGTCGAGTTCCTGGAACTATTTTCGGACACTGAAACTCCCGAACAGCGTTGGACTTCCATGATCGCCTGTGTTCGGTTTTAAAACACTTAGGAAGACAGTGTTCAGTGGAAACGTTCCCACGAACAAGGGGAACAAGCTCCAGGGTGAGACTCTTGAATATGTTTGGTAGTTTGTTTTTAAACTACCGAACTAGAGTGACTGCAAGCCCTGATTCTCTGGAACTGTCTTGGAGCCTCATGTGCGGTTGGTCAAATTATGACTTCCATGGAAATCCTGAATCCCTAAACCTATCTGGGTGATTTTTGGATATGTTGGTCCCCCCAGATCAGGGCTATCAGGGGACATAACATTTTGGGGGTTTCCATGTGTTTTGGGTGTACTTTTGGGTATTGTAAAATGTATGTTTTTTGTGACTGGAGATAATTGAGTTTAGTACAGTTCCTGACTCAATTATCTCCCAGGCACAGGGGCGGGATTATTTTGTTTTATGTGGGAGTGTCCTGGACCTGAGACCCAATGTTATCCTGTGTGTGTTTTTTTCTGTTGTCTACTCTCCGGCCCAGTGGGGAGTGTCCCTTGCATGGGGACCTGCATATAAGGCCAGTTGTGGCTGCCATTAAACCGAACGCTTTACTCATTCATGAAATATAGGCTCATATTTGGGGGATTGGAGAGCTATATTCACACTCTGAGGATTTCTATAATCACTATACTTTCTTGGATTACACTTGCACTTGTAAGAGCAGCCTGCTTTGCTCTCTGGACTAGGAGAGGTCTACCCACTGGAAGCTGGATCCTGGACTTGGGTCAAGGGTGGGTTGAGGACAGCAAGACCCCAACCAAGCTGTGGTGGTTTGTGGGGTTTATGGAGGTTATGGTGCCAGGTGCGGTACTTATGGTACTCAAGGATTACTAAGAAGTAGCGATTGACGGGTCATTTCCCCACAGGACCCTGGATGTATAAATGGGCACTAGTGGCAGGAGGCCTTTGGGACAACTACGCCTTTTAGAAAAAAAGGCCACCGGACTATCACAGACCCAGACTGATTGGAGGTCTGGGGACTGGATACTCACCCCAAGAGGGGGAAGATATGTGACAAATCCCCCTTTCTAATGAGTTTGTTACAAGCTCCTGGAGGAGCCTGCTTGCCAGCCTACTGCCCACTGACTATGGTACTCTAGGATTACTAGGAAGCAGTGATTGACGGAGGTACCCAGTTGGGGTGCCAGGCAGTCCGTCACAAGAACATTTTAAGGAGACAGTTCCATTGCTACATACTTTATCATGTTTAGCATATACAGGAGGTATTTAGTATCCCTATGTCCGCATTTGATCGATCTGTCTTTCTGTCTATCTTTGATTCATATAATGCATAGGTGGTACAAGTTATTGTGCACATTTTTGTGGAGTAAGGCATTAATCACAAAAGGTCAAATCTGACCTTTAACTCCCCACTGGATAAATTTGAATGAAATGAAAAATAGTATAATAGTAGAGAAAAGCATGTCATTATTTCCTAGCAGTAGCTACCTTTTTATGAGGTAATTTATTTATATTCTATTACATAGTGATTTTAAAGTTTTACTGAATCCACACTCTTAGTGTCATATTGAATTATGGTCCTTGGTTTTTTACCATCATGTTATTTGCAAACTAATTTAAAGGTACAGTCTACACCCCTAAATCTCTTTCGATTGCTAAAGTATTTTATGTGAAGAATGTTCTCTTTATTAGAGTTGAGCGAACCCGATCTGTAAAGTTCGGGTTCGTACCGAACATTAGGTTTTTTGGACCCCGGACCCGAACACGGACATATCACTGTATGTTCGGGTTGGAGTTCGGTGTTCAGCGATTTAATGGTGCATTTTCAAAGGCTGCATAGCAGCCAATCATCAAGCGTTTTAATCGTGTGCCCTTAGAAGCCATCACAGCCATGCCTACTAATGGCATGGCTGTGATTGGCCAGTGCAGCATGTGACCCAGCCTCTATATATAAGCTGGAGTTGCGTAGCACCGCACGCACATGCGGTCTTATTAGTGTAGGGAGAGGATGCTGCCACTGATAGGGACAACTTAGGAAATAATTCTGCAAACTAGTACATTAGTGCAGTGGGGTGCACTTCATATCTGAGAGTCAAATAGAAGCTTCAAATATCGCGGTTACATCTGAGTTTTAAAATGTCTAATTTTTTTGGTGCTAAATAGTACATTAGTGGGGTAGTACATTAGTGGGGTGCACTTCATATCTAAGAGTCAAATAGAATCGTCAAATACTGCTGTCACATTGCAGTTTTTAAACGTAATATTTTTGGGTGCTAAAAAGTACATTAGCGGGGTGCACTTCATATCTGAGAGTCAAATAGAAGCGTCAAATACTGCTGTCACATTGCAGTTTTAAAACTTAAAATGTTTTGGGTCCTAAATAGTATTTTAGTGGGGAGTCAAATAGAAGCGTCTAATAGTGTGCTTACAGCGCAGTGGTAAACATTCTTATTTTCTGGGTGATAATCTGCTAAATAGTACATTTTGGGGCATGCACTTCATATCTGAGAGTCAAATAGAAGTGTCTAATAGTGCGCTTACTGTGCAGTTGTAAACATTCTAATTGTTTTGCTGCTAATCTACTAAATAATAAATTTTGTGGCCTGCTCTTCATATCTGAGAGTCAAATAGAACCGTCTAATAGTGTGCTTACTGCGCAGTTGTAAACATTCTAATTGTTTTGCTGCTAAGTAGTACATTTTGGGGCCTGCGGTGCACTTCATATCTGAGAGTCAAATCGAAGCGTCTAATAGTGTGCTTACAGAGCAGTGGTAAACATTCTTATTTTCTGGGTGTTAATCTGCTAAATAGTACATTTTGTGGCCTGCTCTTCATATCTGAGAGTCAAATAGAAGCGTCTCATAGTGTGCTTATTGCGCAGTTGTAAACATTCTAATTGTTTTGCTGCTAATCTGCTAAATAGTACATTTGCAGCCTCCGGTGCACTTGATATCTGAGAGTCAAATAGAAGCGTCAAATAGTGCGCTTACTGCGCAGTTGTAAACATTCTAATTGTTTTGCTGCTAATCTGCTGCTTATATTGGAGTTTTAAAAAGTGACATTTTTTTTTTGGTGCTAAATAGTATATTTGAGGTTTTCACTTCATATCTTAGAGTCAAATCAAAGTGTAACTTTGATTCGAATTTACTACATTGGTCACTTGTAATATTGTTATACACCTACAACACTTGTTACACAGATCTAAGTGATAAACAGATTGATATTTTATACACTAGAAACTACCACATAACAAGCTGCTATATTTAAACCAGTGATCAATAGCTAAGAGGTACTTCAACAATATTGTAATTCTGGGGCAATACCCTCACAATTTAAACTGAGAGGTCAGTTTATAGGGAAAACTGTTGCCTGGAGGAAATTCTAAAACAATTTCCATATGTCCTTTGCAGACTTTACATGCTGGAAAAACACAGGTGCCAACTGCTGTGGCTTTCTGCAGAGTGCATACCGGAAAGGAGGGCAGGGTTGAGGAGTGGGTGGAAGATGACTCTCAGATATGAGGTCCTAGACCCCACATGGAATCAAGGTCATGCGAGTGACGTGTGCAGTTTGGAGGAAGAGGCGCTGGTTGCACAGAGGCACCAGCAAAGCATAAAAGGGAGCAGGGTGCAAAAGCGGAGCGGCTGTCCCCTACCGCTCGTTGGCATGTATTAGCTCGAGAATTACCAGTTATCCAAGTAATACATGTAGTGATCAAAGGATCCATAATTGAGTTGAGCGAACTCGAACTGCAAAGTTCGGGTTTGTATCAGATTTAACGATCCATTCATAGTATCACAGTGAGGTGAGGAAGTTCGGTGACCAGGACCCGGGACCTGGTATGCCTGATGTTGAAGTTAGGAGTCACAGTGTGGAATGGGTCTGGTGCAGGGTAACAGCACGGCCCCTGGTGTTGAGCACCAGCGTTTGTGCGGCCACATACCAGGACCCTGATGCAGCTTCAGTAAAAAGAGTACTTGATACCAGAAGCCATCACCAGACTGATCCGCAACTTGGAACAGGATGTGACATTCACTGTATGCGCTTTTGGCATTCTCACCCTGCTGCTGCTCGCCTGTCTGCGCTGCAGCGTAACTTCGGCCTTCCCGCTCACCACCTCATGAGACTGTGTGAGCAGCAGCAGGCGATAGTGGAGTTTCAGCTGCAGCACGCATGGGTCAGTGGCTCTGCACCAGGCTTCCCTCCAATTGATCAGAGTTAAAGGACTTCAAATAGACTCATTACAATTACAGGGCCTCTAAAGAGTCCTGTATTGTTATTTGTCGTCACTACCTTCCCGCGTCGGGAGTGGGTCATTTGCGCGCCTGCTGCCTTCCTTGCATGTGGTAGCCGTTTCTCAGGGTCCCTGTATGGAATGGAACACTGATTCCCCGTTACCCATAGTCACCATGGTAGGCGCAGAAACTGGCATCGAAAGTTGATATGGATGACATCCGCATGCAAAGTCGCCGCCATGGGGATGTGCGATTGGCCTGAGGTTCTCTAGAGTCAACAAAGTGCCTGCGCAACTATAATGTCAACAGCTACTCTGCGGAACAGACTTGTCTTTTTTTATATGTCCCAATATTTTGGGGGCTACCCAATTAAAAAATATATATTTATATATATAAAAAACAGTGTTGGCTACCTCATCCTCCTCCTCCACCGCCACGGTCACCGCCTCCTCAACATATGGGTCACTTAGAATAAACTAGGTACACATTAGTAGAGGCTTGTGAAGGACTTTTCTCCATGCATCAGGAGTTGAGCATTTCTCCATGCATCAAGACTGCAAGAAATGCACCGCATGCCGCAAATGTTTATTTTGTTGTATGTCCCAATATTTTGTGGGCTAAAACAATAAAAAAAAAACCCATAAAAAACAGTGCTGGCTACCTCATCCTCCTCCTCCACCGCTGTTTCCTCCTCCACAGTCATGGTCACCGCCTCCTCAACCTATGGGTCACTTAGTATAAACTAGGTACAAATTAGCAGAGGCTTGTGAAGGCCTTTTCTCCATTAATCAGGAGTTGAGCATTTCTCCATGCATAAGGACTGCAAGAAATGCACCGCAAGCAGCAAATGTTTCTTTTGTTGTATGTCCCAATATTTTGTGGGCAACCACAATTAAAAAAAAAAAAAAACATAAAAAACTGTATTGGCTACCTCATCCTCCTCCTTCATCGCTGCTTCCACCTACACCGCAACGGTCACCGCCTCCTCAACCTATGGGTCACTTAGTATAAACTAGGTACACATTAGCAGAGGCTTGTGAAGGCCTTTTCTCCATGCATCAGGAGTTGAGCATTTCTCCATGCATCAGGACTGCAAGAAATGCACCGCAGGCAGCAAATGTTTCTTTTGTTGTATGTCCCAATATTTTGTGGGCAACCACAATTAAAAAAAAAACAAAAACATAAAAAACAGTGTTGGCTACCTCATCCTCCTCCTTCACCGCTGCTTCCACCTACACCCCAATGGTCACCGCCTCCTCAACCTATGGGTCACTTAGTATAAACTAGGTACACATTAGCAGAGGCTTGTGAAGGCCTTTTCTCCATGCATCAGGACTGCAAGAAATGCAACGCAGGCCGCAAATGTTTCTTTTGTTGTATGACCCAATATTTTGTGGGCAACCACAATTAAAAAAAAAACAAAAACATAAAAAACAGTGTTGGCTACCTCATCCTCCTCCTTCACTGCTGCTTCCACCTCCACCGCCACGGTCACCGCCTCCTCAACATATGGGTCACTTAATATAAACTAGGTACACATTAGCAGAGGCTTGTGAAGGACTTTTCTCCATGCATCAGGAGTTGAGCATTTCTCTATGCATCAAGACTGCAAGAAATGCACCGCATGCCGCAAATGTTTCTTTTGTTGTATGTCCCAATATTTTGTGGGCTAAAACAATTTTTAAAAAAAAACATAAAAAACAGTGCTGGCTACCTCATCCTCCTCCTCCACCGCTGTTTCCTCCTCCACAGTCATGGTCACTGCCTCCTCAACCTATGGGTCACTTAGTATAAACTAGGTACACATTAGCAGAGGCTTGTGAAGGCCTTTTCTCCATGAATCAGGAGTTGAGCATTTCTCCATGCATCAGGACTGCAAGAAATGCACCGCAAGCAGCAAATGTTTCTTTTGTTGTATGTCCCAATATTTTGTGGGCAACCACAATTTAAAAAAACCAAAAACATAAAAAACAGTGTTGGCTACCTCATCCTCCTCCTTCACCGCTGCTTCCACCTACACCGCCACGGTCACCGCCTCCTCAACCTATGGGTCACTTAGTATAAACTAGGTACACATTAGCAGAGGCTTGTGAAGGCCTTTTCTCCATGCATCAGGAGTTGAGCATTTCTCCATGCATCAGGACTGCAAGAAATGCACCGCAGGCAGCAAATGTTTCTTTTGTTGTATGTCCCAATATTTTGTGGGCAACCACAATTAAAAAAAACCCAAAAACATAAAAAACTGTGTTGGCTACCTCATCCTCCTCCTTCACCGCTGCTTCAATCTCCACCGCCACAGTCACCGCCTCCTCAACATATGGGTCACTTAGTATAAACTAGGTACACATTAGCAGAGGCTTGTGAAAGCCTTTTCTCCATGCATCAAGACTGCAAGAAATGTACCGCAGGCCGCAAATGTTTCTTTTGTTGTATGACCCAATATTTTGTGGACTACCACAATAAAAAAAAAAAACATAAATAACAGTTTTGACTACCTCCTCCTCCTCCTCCACAGCTGCTTCCTCCTCCACCGTCACGGTCACCGCCTCCTCAACCTATGGGTCACTTAGCATAAACTAGGTACACAGTAGCATAGGCTTGTGAAGGCCTTTTCTCCATACATCAGGAGTTGAGCATTTCTCCATGCATCAGGACTGCAAGAAATGCACCGCAGGCCGCAAATGTTTCTTTTGTTGTATGTCCCAATATATTGTGGGCTACCACAATTAAAAAAAACAAAAACATAAAAAACAGTGTTGGCTACCTCATCCTCCTCCTTCACTGCTGCTTCCACCTGCACCGCCACGGTCACCGCCTCCTCAACCTATGGGTCACTTAGTATAAACTAGGTACACATTAGCAGAGGCTTGTGAAGGCCTTTTTTCCATGCATCAGAAGTTGAGCATTTCTCCATGCATCAGAACTGCAAGAAATGCAGCACAGGCCGCAAATGTTTCTTTTGTTGTTTGTCCCAATATTTTGTGGGCTACCACAATTAAAAAAAAAATAAAAAACAGTGTTGTCTACCTCCTCCTCCTCCTTCACCACTGCTTCCACCTACACTGCCACGGTCACCGCCTCCTCAACCTATGGTTCACTTTGTATAAACTAGGTACACATTAGCAGAGGCTTGTGAAGGCCTTTTCTCCATGCATCAGGAGTTGAGCATTTCTCCATGCATCAGGACTGCAAGAAATGCACCACAGGCTGCAAATGTTTCTTTTGTTGTATGTCCCAATATTTTGTGGGCAACCACAATTAAAAAAAAACAAAAACATAAAAAACAGTGTTGGCTACCTCATCCTCCTCCTTCACCGCTGCTTCCACCTACACCGCCACGGTCACCGCCTCCTCAACCTATGGGTCACTTAGTATAAACTAGGTACACATTAGCAGAGGCTTGTGAAGGCCTTTTCTCCATGCATCAGGAGTTGAGCATTTCTCCATGCATCAGGACTGCAAGAAATGCACCGCAGGCAGCAAATGTTTCTTTTGTTGTATGTCCCAATATTTTGTGGGCAACCACAATTAAAAAAAACCCAAAAACATAAAAAACTGTGTTGGCTACCTCATCCTCCTCCTTCACCGCTGCTTCAATCTCCACCGCCACAGTCACCGCCTCCTCAACATATGGGTCACTTAGTATAAACTAGGTACACATTAGCAGAGGCTTGTGAAAGCCTTTTCTCCATGCATCAAGACTGCAAGAAATGTACCGCAGGCCGCAAATGTTTCTTTTGTTGCATGACCCAATATTTTGTGGACTACCACAATAAAAAAATAAACATAAATAACAGTTTTGACTACCTCCTCCTCCTCCTTCACCGCTGCTTCCACCTACACTGCCACGGTCACCGCCTCCTCAACCTATGGTTCACTTTGTATAAACTAGGTACACATTAGCAGAGGCTTGTGAAGGCCTTTTCTCCATGCATCAGGACTGCAAGAAATGCACCACAGGCTGCAAATGTTTCTTTTGTTGTATGTCCCAATATTTTGTGGGCTACCACAATTAAAAAAAACAAAAAACATAAAAACCAGTGTTGGCTACCTCATCCTCCTCCTTCACCCCTGCTTCAACCTCCACCGCCACAGTCACCGCATCCTCAACATATGCGTCACTTAGTATAAACTAAGTACACATTTGCAGTGGCTTGTGAAGGCCTTTTCTCCATGCATCAGGAGTTGAGCATTTCTCCATGCATCAGGACTGCAAGAAATGCAGCACAGGCCACAAATGTTTCTTTTGTTGTATGTCCCAATATTTTGTGGGCTACCACAATTAAAAAAAAACAAAAACATAAAAAACAGTGTTGGCTACCTCATCCTCCTCCTCCAACGCTGCTTCCACCTACACCGCCATGGTCACCGCCTCCTCAACCTATGGGTCACTTAGTATAAACTAGGTACACATTAGCAGAGGCTTGTGAAGGCCTTTTTTCCATGCATCAGAAGTTGAGCATTTCTCCATGCATCAGGACTGCAAGAAATGCACTGCAGGCAGCAAATGTTTCTTTTGTTTTATGTCCCAATATTCTGTGGGCTACCACAATAAAAAAAAACAAAAAACAGTGTTGGCTACCTCATCCTCCTCCTTCACCGCTGCTTCAACCTCCACCACCACAGTCACCGCCTCCTCAACATATGGGTCACTTAGTATAAACTAGGTACACATTAGCAGAGGCTTGTGAAGGCCTTTTCTCCATGCATCAGGACTGCAAGAAATGCACCGCAAGCAGCAAATGTTTCTTTTGTTGTATGTCCCAATATTTTGTGGGCTACCACAATAAATAATAATAAAAAAAAATAACAGTGTTGACTACCTCATCCTCCTCCACCGTCACGTTCACCGCCTCCTCAACCTATAGGTCACTTAGTATAAACTAGGTACACACTAGCAGAGGCTTGTGAAGGCCTTTTCTCCATGCATCAGGAGTTGAGCTCAGTTTGAACAATGAATGAGAATACCCTGCACTCCAACCATCTCTCATATGGATAATTCTGGTGATCCTCCTGACAGCCATGCTTTTGATTTTGCTTTATGTTCTTCCAAAGCTAAAATCAAAGATTCCATCTAGTGCTATTTTATGGCTCAGCTGTATTTTTATGTTATTTTAAGTGATTTCCCTATCCATATTTGTTTGCAGGGCACTTGTCCTACATTTACCCCCATTTTACTTCCTTTTACAGCTCTCTAGCCCTTTCCAGGAGTTTTTTAGAGGCATTTTTGTGGCCAAAAGTTCGGGTCCCATTTGACTTCAATGGGGTTCGGGTTCGGGGGTTAAGTTCGAGCCTGAACCCGTACTTTTTTTCAAAGTTAGGCCGAACCCACCGGACCTGAACATCCAGGTGCC